TGGGAAATCCAGTGGTCCCTCCAAAAAGAAAATGTAGTCGCCCTTCCAGATTTGGTTCAAGAGCAAGGTACAAACTATACCAATCTGCCAAGTTCCATAGCAGAAGGTAATGCCAGGGCTGAAAAGTTGGCTAACCTTGCACTGGTAGCACCTCAGCCTGATGTACTAGCACAAGCCAAAGCACTGCATGAATTCTTTCATCAAAATGTACATACATTGCAAAAACAGTTTCAGTTGACTCCAACTGAGGCCAGTGACATTGTCAATTCCTGTGATGATTGTTACACGCTTGCTCCTCCTATACTGGTGGGCATAAACCCTATGGGTCTCAAGGCCTTGGAAATTTGGCAAACAGATGTTACCCAAATTGCTGAATTCAGCAGGGTAAAGTATTTGCATGTGTCTATTGACACTTCCTCCTCTGCAATGTGGGCTTCTGCTCACACTGAAGAAAAAACCATGCAATGTCATTGCCCATTGGAGGCAGGGTTTTGCTGTGTTAGCAATACCTTCTACTGTGAAAACCGATAATGGCCCTGCTTACGCCTCACAGAAAGTGCAGCAGTTTATGCAGATGTGAGGTGTTTCACACAAATTCAGCATTCTGCATCCTCCAACTGGCCAAGCCATTGTTGAACGTGCTCATGGTACTCTGAAGCAGGTTCTTCAAAAACAAAAACAAGGAATGCAGGGTGAAACCCCACAAAGTTGATTGGCAAAAATTCTGTATATGGCCAATCACCTTATGGTGCTGCAGAATTCAAATAACCCTGTCATCTTAAACCATCACCTTTCTTTGCAGGCTTCAGGCGAGACGCATCAGCCCTGAGTGAATGTTCAGGTGCGAAATTTGACTACCAAGCAGTGGGAAGGCCCGTTTGAACTTATTGCTTCGGGTCATGAGTATGTGTGTGTATCCACAGATACTGGGGTACACTGGGTACCTACAAAGCATGTCCATCCTGGCCTGCAATCCCAAAGGCAGAACCGAGCTAACAGGAAAACCACAAGCCGTGACCAGGAGGAAGATCATCAAGTGGAGGAACCTTTGAGTGATGACACAGATGCAGAAGATGAGTGTGGTCACTCGGATGGTCCCTCTAAGCAGGCATCTTGCTTATTTTTCTTTTTTTTTTTTCTTTTTTGATTTAAAAAAAAAAAAGAGATAGATGTGGGCATGATTTTCTGAACCTGAGAGAATTTTCAAGCTCTCAGATGCTGACTGTTCCCAAGAGAAAGTCTTGGGAACCCATTCTTGCTCAAGGATTATTTGTGTAAATAAGGAATTACTTTCCCAAAACAAGGCACAGATGTTCTGAGCATGTTTTTTCTCTCTTATCCCACCAATGGGATGAGAGGGGTCTTGTTCCTTCTACCAATCAGGGTGACCTGATCAGAGAAGCTTATAAAAGGGTTGTCAAGACCCCGCAATAAAGGCTTTTTGCCTCAAGAAAGCAGCTGTGTGTGTGACTGATTTCTGGGGACCCTCGCTCAATATTTTATGTCCTCTAGCGACGTCTGGTGGCCTGAAACATGGGAGTCGGCATCGAAATCACGCAGCTGCGGGAAGGTAATACCTTCTTTTTCCTCCCCCACCCCCCCGGGGATTCTGAGTTTTTTCAGTCCAGACTGTGGGCTATTTTGCCTGCCATTTTTTCCTTTTGCTGGAGACTCCTCCAGTGAGCTGACAGCATGCTGATCGCTGCTCTAGCCCCAGAGGATGAGATTGTCCTGGATTTGTGGTTTGACATTCTCCACAGGCAGCATCTGGATATTCCTGAACCAGATATTAATGCTTTGTATTTATGGGGAAAATAAATGGATTTTTTCCAACTGCCACTGATGCACTGCTGAAAGATCCTTGGTGGAGCGTAGGTGACACCTTGTATCGGCTTGTCTTGTTCCTTCTACCAATCAGGGTGACCTGATCAGAGAAGCTTATAAAAGGGTTGTCAAGACCCCGCAATAAAGGCTTTTTGCCTCACGAAAGCAGCTGTGTGACTGATTTCTGGGGACCCTCGCTCAATAGTTCATGTCCTCTAGTGTCAGTATCCAAGATGTCTGCTTGGGCTTTTTAAATCTTCATTCTTCTGTAACTTTAAATTAATTTCACTCATTTGTCACTTCTGCATCTGAGGCAGGATACTAAAGTGAAGCCATTATTTCCCTTCTTCCCACTTCCAGTGTCCCTCAGTAGCTTTGCCAAGATCTCCTTCCTGCTGAACATAAAACTTATCAAACGTACTCACCCCATATACCCATGAAAATGGCAAAAAAAAGAGTTGCCACGTTGTCAAACAGATGGGAATACTGCAACAGAATACCCAGGAACAGGTCAGTACCAAGACAGTTTTCAGGATGAACAAAAATGACAAGTGGCTGCAGAACCAAATACAAACCTGTGAGGACTCGCAGGTGGTATTTAGTCTCCAGTATTCACAGTCTCGGTCACAAAGTGGGCACATGATAATCTCTCCTCCAATTGCAGGGTCACAGATTTCTTTGCTAAGGAGGAAAACATTGTAAAGTATCTGTTTCCACAGCATCTTAAATGCTATTATATGAAATTTTATTTAAAAAATAAATAGGAGCTTGATTTGTTCAAAGCTCAATATTTGCAGCTTTACAGCAAAGATGCCACATCTTGTCACAGTCACTGCTGTTAACCATTGATTGGTTAGGGCAAGCCAAGAGTGAAGCAGCTGCTAAAAGGAGTAGAACTAACAGTTCCATCAGAATGGGTTTTTTGGCTCTACCAGAAATAAATCAGGAGTCTGT